TATATATATATTCCTTTTTTCTTTTCTTGAACATATGTCATAATAGCAACACTATGAAAGCAAAATTAATGATTTCAATTAGATATCTTAATGGGTTTTAATAAAAAGCCAAGATGTCTGAAATGTACTTCTAATTCACGGAAATAGTGAATGATAACTCCATTAATTACAATAAGTATTAAATTCTAAAATAATAACTAGTAACAATGCCACTTGGGTTCTTCTATTCCAGTTCTGGGGTGGTCATCTTACCCAAGGGGATAATTTTATTTCGTTACAGTAATTTTTTACTCCACAAATCTAAAAACATTGATGTGTCCACAAATCTCTCATTATCAAATTGAAACAGAAATCCAGAGAAAATAGTGTTATAATTAGTTATAAAATTAGATAGATAGATGGATAGATGGATGGATGGATGGATGGATGGATGGATATGGATCATCACTTTGTGCCACCAAATTTCATGAGAGAAGTGTCAAACAAATCAAAAATCACATTTCTCAATGTAAAATCACAAAGAATGTAGGTCTTTCACAAACTACCATACATAATATTGTGAAAAGATTCGGAGAATCCAAAGAAATCTCAGTCTGTGTAGGGCAAGGCAGGAAACTTGTGTGTGAATGTGTGTGACCTTTGAGCCCTCAGATGGCATTGCATAAGAAACCGTCATGCTGCTGTGTTAAATATAGCCATATGGGCTCAGAAGTTCTTTGGAAAACCACTGTCACTTAACACAGTCTGCCGCTGCATCAATAAATGCAAGTTGAATCTCTTGTTACTCTAGGAGAAAGCTATACATCAATTCTATGCAGTGATGCCGTGGGGTTCTCTGGGCCAGAGCCCATCTCAGATAGTCAAAAAGACAGTGGAAATGTGTGGTCAGATGAGTCCATGTTTCAACTTGTTTCTGGGAAAAAAGGACATCGAGTTCTCAGTCCCAAAGACCAAAGCGACCATCCAGACTTTCTTCAGTGATTGACATGGAGGCATATATTGGAATTGTACAAAGACATTTACTGCCATCAAGATGACGTCTTTCATGGGAAGTCCATGGTTATTAGATCAAGACAATGCCAGGTCTCATGCTGCATTTGCTACAACAGCGTGGTTTCGTAGACACAGAGAGAATGTGCTAGACTGGCCTGGCTGCAGTCCAGATCTGTCTCCTGTTGAAAATGTATGACTATCATGAAAAGGAGAATCAGACAATAACGACTACGGACTGATGAGCAGCTGAAGTCTTGTATCAAGCAAGATTGGACAAAAATTTTGCTTGCAAAACTTAAACAATTGGTATCCTCAATTCCCAAACAATTAAACATTGTAATTGAAAGGAAAGTTGATGTGACACATCTGTCCCAACTTTTTTGGAGTGTGTTGTAGCCATCAAAATCAAAATTTGTTTATATTTACAAAATAAAATAAAGTTGGCCAGTCAAAACATTAGAATTTTTTTCTTTGTACTTTAGTCAATTAAATAAAAGTTAAAGAGAATGAACAAATAACATATTCTTGATTTTATGGCATTTCACAAAATGTGTGCATATATATATATAATATTAGATAGATAGATAGATAGATAGATAGATAGATAGATATAACCAAAAAGCCCTCGTAAAATAGAATAAACTATAAATAAAATATTAGGTAGGAGTACAATTTTTTAGTTTTGATTGCTATGAGGCCATTGATAAGCAGTACATATAATTTGCCATCAGATGGCACTATTGTCAAAATGGTAAGGCTTATTGTGTGTAAAGTTACTGGAAGCATGCGTTTCCCCAACACATGCTCATACGCAGGTATTTCAAATAACAGCAACATCCATACGTGCATAAACATACGCTCACACTCATTACAACACAGATATGAGCTGTACCTGATAACTGTATCAACTTGAACTATCGGCATTATTTTGAATTCCGCATTGTGTTCAACCTAGTCTCTTTTTCAATTGTTAGAGATCCTAAATTCGCAAATTCCATTCTATTTAAACCAAAAGCTTTACATTTCATTAAGCAAAATTTTCTCTAAAAGAAACAATAGAGAAAATAACAACTACAAAAAAAAAAGAAGAGAAAGAAAAAAAACTATAATCATGTTAATACAAAGGAACATGGAGTTTTGTGCAGGATGGAGAACACTATGTAGGCCAGAGGCAATTATCCAGGTCACTGTGGGTCAGAAACATTGCTTAGTATACCAACACAAGGTCACTCTCCTGTGATTACATAAGGTGATGCAGAGACTGCTCTCTAGTGGCAGAACAAACACAAACTCACAGACCCAATGCTGCTGGCGTCGCACCTCTCAGGAATAAGAGTTATCCCAGTAAAAGCTATTTAAACCACTAAAGTTAACTAGTTAACTGTTTTTTAGACACATCTATACATCAGTCAAATGCACGAGCCTATAAACGAGTTAACTAGCTTATACAAATTTCAAGAAGTGATAATGCCTGAAGGTAAATGTTTTGAAAAGTTAGTAAAGTTCTCATCAAAGAATAGAAGCATTATCTCTAATAAATTATTTATTTGTTTATATATTTATTTTGTATTTAATACCTGGTAAAGCAAGTCGTTTTCACTTAAATGTAGCAAAATATGCAACATGATGGTGGGAATACAAAAAAAACCCGCCTAATTAAAAATTAGCTCAGTTACGGATTTATACATTTGTAACCAAATGCATCTTCAAGGTTGTCACGTTGTGTCACTTAACTGCTGACACGTAGCCTAGTATTTGCACATTGAAAACTCAAACATCATTAATCAAAATATGAACTACATGTCATAGAAAAAAAACTTCAAAAGGACTTTATACTTATGATCTTTGCATACTGAGTTACATTTCATGGAGCAACGATTTAGTCAGGGCTGTTGTCGAAATTCATATAGCCTGTGGGTGTTACTTCAAATTATTTCTTCTTTCTTTTACATTTAACTCCTCGTTTGCCTCTGAGACTATTAAATGCCATACCACAATATGTTTTGAGATGACCAGTGCTCCATTATAGTATGACGACCAACAGGTGTTTGTCTTGTGATAACAAGAAAGGCGTGATAATGCCTGAAGGTAAATGTTTTGAAAAGTTAGTAAAGTTCTCATCAAAGAATAGAAGCATTATCTCTAATAAATTATTTATTTGTTTATATATTTATTTTGTATTTAATACCTGGTAAAGCAAGTCGTTTTCACTTAAATGTAGCAAAATATGCAACATGATGGTGGGAATACAAAAAAAACCCGCCTAATTAAAAATTAGCTCAGTTACGGATTTATACATTTGTAACCAAATGCATCTTCAAGGTTGTCACGTTGTGTCACTTAACTGCTGACACGTAGCCTAGTATTTGCACATTGAAAACTCAAACATCATTAATCAAAATATGAACTACATGTCATAGAAAAAAAACTTCAAAAGGACTTTATACTTATGATCTTTGCATACTGAGTTACATTTCATGGAGCAACGATTTAGTCAGGGCTGTTGTCGAAATTCATATAGCCTGTGGGTGTTACTTCAAATTATTTCTTCTTTCTTTTACATTTAACTCCTCGTTTGCCTCTGAGACTATTAAATGCCATACCACAATATTTTTTGAGATGACCAGTGCTCCATTATAGTATGACGACCAACAGGTGTTTGTCTTGTGATAACAAGAAGGCGCCAAAGCGCGACGTGTATCGGGGTCCCGTCACTATCAAGTTTACATTTTCAGTGAGTTTATATTGTCTATGCAACATAACAACAACTGTTATATATTTTTTTACACAATATTTTATATACGTATAAATATGCACTATTTATCACAAAATGTGTTTGTTTGTACGTCTACAAAATGCTTTAAAAGACCATGCTGTTGTTAGACACTTGTTGCTACATCAAATCTATCTATCTATCGTGAATAATCAATCGGATGAGGCTGAAAGGGTGAAGTTTTCCACCCCTCCCGTAGAGATGCTCACAGCTGAACTCCAGTGGCAGCTTCAGTAACACACGTCCCCTTGGAGACTAGAGCAACACGTGATGCGTCTACTTATCACGTTCACTGAGCAGCGCTCAGGAACACACTTTGAGGAAAAAGTGACTTTTCTGACCCTCATTCGTCGGAAGTGTCGATGGCCATCGTTCCTTTAGGGAGCTAACACGGTGGGCGATGTGAAGTATCCAGTTGGCGAACTTTGCACATCCTCAAATACGCCATTTTGATGTTTAAAAAAAAAAAAAAAAGATTTCAAAATAATCTGTTCTTTTGAACTTTCTATTCATCAAATAATCCGAAAAAAAAAAATCAGTTTTCATTATTGATAATAACAAGAAATGTGTCCTGAACATCAAATCTATCTATCTATCTATCTATCTATCTATCTATCTATCTATCTATCTATCTATCGTGAATAATCAATCGGATGAGGCTGAAAGGGTGAAGTTTTCCACCCCTCCCGTAGAGATGCTCACAGCTGAACTCCAGTGGCAGCTTCAGTAACACACGTCCCCTTGGAGACTAGAGCAACACGTGATGCGTCTACTTATCACGTTCACTGAGCAGCGCTCAGGAACACACTTTGAGGAAAAAGTGACTTTTCTGACCCTCATTCGTCGGAAGTGTCGATGGCCATCGTTCCTTTAGGGAGCTAACACGGTGGGCGATGTGAAGTATCCAGTTGGCGAACTTTGCACATCCTCAAATACGCCATTTTGATCGCTCTCCGGAACAAGTTTGCAGTTTTTTTTTCGAAGTCCATCATCTCTTTTCACCATCACCATGTCTCAGCGCAGTCAGTCCAACGCCGACAAAGTCAAGCGTAAGTATTGAACACTTTTCTACATGTTGTTGTTGTTGTTTACGTTCACCATCCTGCCGATCGCAAACTTTTTTGGATGGATACTTTGTTGGAAGTTTTTAAACTTGGAAGGCCGAAGATGTTGAGATGATGTCCGATCTTTTTTTTCCTCGCCCGAGGTTTGTGCTTCCTCGTTTCGTGCTTCCTCGTTTCATTCTCGCATCCAAAGGTTGAACGCCTGACTACAGGAATTCACTCGCGTCTAACCAGCGCACATGTACTCAGCCAGCATACCTGAGTTAACTTTACCACTTCAGTTAACCATACATTCAGTGTCACTACTGTGGCTTTATCTCCCATTTGAACAAATTAAGTTTAGCTCATATATTGTCATCAAAAGTGAGTATTTTATAGTAAACCGAAGCATCCACATCTGAGCTTTGATCGAGGCTAACGCGTGGGGGGTTGGACACGCTTCCCTTTATATTTTGACCTTGTCGGGACATGTTGCATTTACGTTTTATTTGTGCTTTCGACTTTTCTTCACCATCGACAAGTTCTTATTGTTCACCAAATCACCATTCTTTCGTCAGTCACATTTTGCAAACTTAATGTTTGGGAATGTGAAAAGTTTTAAAGGAGGAAGTTCGCTGTCGTCGTGACTATCGTTGGGTTGGGTTTGCTGCATGAGATGAACGCCGAATAGTTATACAAGAAAAGTCGGCTTTTATATTTGAACTAAGCAGCCACATCGACGATACAAATGAAACCATCTTAATTTGGGACGACTAATTACTCGGATGCATCATGGTTCGTGCGGGTGTTTCGATAGAGGCTGACTGTGCTTGCGCCCTCCTCCCATCATCCTCTGTTCGTTCTTGTCTCTTTGGAGAATCAGAATGTGCAGAGATCCGGATGAGGAGTTCACATTCCATTACCAAATTCAACACTGGGCTCCAGGAGGCCTGCAGTGGCAGCATCATTCACTCGCTCCGTCCTCGCAGTCTGCTGACTTTTAACTACATCATAGTTTTGTACAGTAGCACTAAAAAAAAATGCAAAGGGGCAGTAACCTTAAAGGGACAACTTTGTACCTTATCTTCCCTTAAAAGTTGTATATTACTTTTTTAGAGTAATAATATGTACCCTTAAGGTACTCTGAACCTTTTAGAGGTAAATAAAGGACGTTTTTCTTTAGTTGGTAATCTGAGGATATTGCTGAGATATTACACTGTGGTTTTATGGTGATCTACTGTATGTAAGCTATGGTGTATAATTATGTACAACCAGGGGACCCGGAAGGTACCCCAGGGGGTCCGAAGACACCACAGCCTATATAAAACATAGAATTAAATTGCATTCCTATTATCCAATAAGCAGTGTAATATATATTTTTTATACTAGAAGTTCCTCTGTAAATGTGGAAAACTTCTGATTTAGAAGTTTTATGTTTGAAATGAATTTTGCCCATCATCATAATATAGTTTTGAGAAACTTTGCTGATCAGACATAAGTCACTATCCTTTGTGCAATCTCAAAGTGATCTTAAAAGATTAAACCATTGTAAATGTACTCTGAACCAACGTGGGAATGTTGCTTCATCACCTTAAGCAAATGTTTTACTTTTTTTGTTTTTGTTTCTGTATTGCTTTATATAAGCAAAAACTTGTGCATGTTTTTGCCTTTAACAATAACAATATAATATTTGAAGATTTTTTTTTAATCATCATCTACCATTTTCCCCAAGCAGAGAGACAAATCCTCCTTTTTTCATTTTTCTAATAGCTGCTCCTCTCACAATGCAGGCTGATGTAGGGTGGAGATGTGTTTGTTCAGATGTGTAAAGCAAGAAGACCATTGAAAATTCAAAGGCATGTTCTAGTGAACAGTCAACCAGTGGTCCGGGCTGTAATCTCCTCTGTCCTCAGCAGGGAGTCGCCAGAGTTGAATAGAGAAAACCCATTGTGAGCATCAGAGCTGCCGTGCTGATAGTGATAGAAAAGGGCCATCAGCTTTTACTTGTTTTTTGCTTTTGTTTTGGTCTGTTTGAATATTGGGACGCAGCCTTGGAAATGTTTTAATTGACTGTCGGTACAGCTTGATTAGCCTTGATTAATATATATTCATTAAAATCAACTCTCGGGGGTTCCCTAGTAAACTTCCTTTGACAAACATGCCCAACTGTGATTGTTCACACATTGTAAAGACAGAGGGACCAGTCTGTTGAAGTCCCAGACTGGATGGAGAAACTGATTGGTCACCTCACCGAGTCTTTTGCCTCTAGTGATGGGTGTTCTGTTCACTCATCCAGGGGTAGAGATGGGCGTCCTGTTTTGCTCTGGAGCTATTTTTAACCTGTCTATTTTAGATAAGATTATGTTCCCTCTCCCTCATAGGGAATGGGAAGCCTGGTTTGGTCCTGGGGTGTTGGGTGAGACACTGTACCTGTAGGGGTTAAGAAAGTTAGTTTGCAGATGGATGCTAACTATTTGCATGTTTCATTCGTATTTAAGAGACAGTCTTTAAAAATGTTTAATTTATGACCAAATCAAAAAATGACTGTTGAATGTGGTCTCTTTTAAAAGAATAGTTCACCCAAAAAAGTTCGGAAATGATTTACTCATCCTCATGTTGTTCCAAACCTTTGTAAATTCTTTACAAAAAAAGAAGATAATATGCAAAATTTCTCAGTGTTTTTTTTGTTCATATAATGAATCTCAGTGGGATCCATTATTGTTTTGGACCCTGTTCACTTTCATTGTGTGGATAAAAATAGAACTAAAGAAAGTTATACAAGCTTGGAAAACAGGAGGGTGAAGAAATGTAACATTTAACTTTTGTTTTAACATTTATCATATGTATTTTTGCATTGAAATGTAGAGAATATAAATGAATTTGACCTGTAGTCCATGGCTGTCAATCAAGTTTGGTTTTTGGCCTTTCGTAGTAAACAATTTGGGTATCTCTGGACTAAATTGTTTGCTTTTTGAATTATAAAGTGTAGTAAAGAAAAACTAAAAGTGAAAGTCCTCATGAAAATGCTTTGGTGTAAGTGGGATATGGATGACAGGAAATAGAGCAGCCTTTGTGGATAGAGGAAGTTAGAAAAAGATAAAAACAATAGGTAGCATATCCTAACACTGTTAGTTTGAGTATTAAGTTGTGTGATAGTCAATCAAACAGGTCATAATAGTCAAACTGTGATGTTTTACCACAATCATAAATAGTTTAGCTTGCTAGCACTCCTTTTTGAAGGATTGTGTGCTTTGCTTTCACTTTTTTTACGTTTGTCTGTGAGAGAAAAAGACAGATCACACACGGCCTCCTTCTTTGCCTCCCCCTGCTACTTCCCCCGCCCCTTCTCTCCCACCCTGCCTCTGTTGCTGACTAAACAGTTTTGTCAGCTGGCTGTTGCCCACGGTCCGTGAATTTTTTATAGCTTCTAGAGAGTGAGCACTGCGCAGGGAGGCGGAGATGCTGAAGTAACGCTCTTGTTGCTCATTTAGGAGTGAAGGAGTGAGACAGAAACCGGAAGATGGCAGGTCGAGTCACATTGTGGAACCAGTTGGTCTTGTACTAGAATTCTTTGTAGGCTGTAGGCTTCCCAGTTTCGCGTTCAAGCACTGAGCAAACAATTGAAAGATATGAAAATATGCCTGTGGCTAATTCATCTGTATCACGTATAGGGGTTGCTAAAAGTCCAATTTTTGCTTTGGAAACTGAGAGAAATTTGACTTAGTTATGACCTGACATGAGTGTCACGAAACATCGCTAATCTAACGTCGCAGTCAGTGGTGATACGTCATGCATAATTTTATGAAATCTCATGACAAAGCTGTGACTTTCGTTTCAGTGCCAGTTCATTGTAGTGATTCGTGATATCAATGAGGCAATGCAATGAGGGAGGGACGGTGTATGACTGAGTGCAGGAGTAATTTAACTGGGAAATCTAGGTGTGCACTGCAGGTTGGAAAACGGTCATCCTCATGTCAGTATGTCACTGTTGTGTTGACCTGCGTGGACTTTGAATCATACAGTCTCCTCTCGCTAAGCGCAAGAAGAGCTTCACAGAGAAACGTCCCATCTGATGTGCAATGGGAAACAGATGTGGCTGGGTTGTTAGCTCAGTGCTTTTCTTCAAAGAGCCTCAATTAGCATGTCCGTATACAGAACGACTTCATAAGACATATTTTGT